GAATCAATTAATAACATTATTAAACTATACATTATATACTATATATTTTTTCTATTAGGAGATGTCAAAATTTTAAAAAATTATCTATAATTTTATACTAATCTCTGTCAGAGTATCATCACTTTTTTTCATCACAATGTTTTTATCCCTGCTTACCTTATCAAGGCTGCACTTTAAAAAATGAAATAGTCTGGAGCGCTGTACTGGACGAAATTTCTTTCTGTTTACACTTGTGTGTACAAGATGACAAAATAAAATCTGTCTATGTCTAAGGATCAAAGAGATACAAAGAGATATATAATAGTTAATATTCTGATAATAAAGTCATGATATTAAGGTTTTTTGATAATAAAGTCTTAAATATCATTAAGAATAAAGTCACAACGATCAAAGTATAAAGTTGTAACATTAGGAGATCAATGTTTTAATATTGCCAATGAGAATGATAACATAACATTTTTATTATTTGATATATTTTATTCTTTACAGATTCCCCCCCATTGAACTTCTGGGTGGCCTTTTGGTCTGGCTGACCAATAGAAACGCTGTTGCTATCGTCTAAGCAGAGCAGATGTTCTTCTATTGGTCAGCGCACGGATCATCCAGAACTCTAGAGGGTGACATCTGTATTCTAAAATAATATAATTCATAAAACTGATTTGAAAACAAATATATATTTTATTTCAAAAAATAAACTTTAAAACAGCAAGCTGGGATGTAAGTAAGTAAGTAAAATTTAATTGTATAGCCACTTTTCACAGATAAAAATCACAAAGTGCTTCACAGTAAAAATGTAATACAATAAAACAAATGGAAACATGCAAACAAAGCCATAAAAACCACACGTCTAATTAAGATAATGGAAGATAATGGTTGATCTTTTACATTCACATTATGAAATACTCTCAGATGCCTTTTTTTTTTTTCAATTGAGAAGTTTTTAAAACGCATCTTCTTCAACTTTCCTGTTTTTTTAAATACGTTCTTTGTTTTTAATAATATTGGAATAAATTTCTCTCCATATCCCCAGAGGCCATCCGACTGCAGCTGTAACTCCCAGCTCTGCAGCGTCCGTCTGCTTCTAAATAAACACATCTATAAATCTGGAAGCAACGGTCGGATAAAAACTGATCCCATAACATAATTCTCTGTCTGAGTCTGAAGGATTATGATTTCCACAGTGACAGCAGGAAAGATGTGCTTCTGCTTTCCTTCGCTTAAGGTGATATTGGTGGTTTTGTCAGAAAGAGTTTAAACCTGCAGGTTAACGTCCGCTTCCTGTGGAGCGTAGATGACAGGAAGTGTTCAGCAGATTTATGTAAACACTGAATCTATCCAGTTTAACTTCCAGAGTAACAAAAAGGATAAAAATGACATCATCTGACTGTAACTGATTTCTAAACAAATCGTTTTTCCTACGTATATTGAAAAAAATGTGTTTCAAAGGGTTTTTGTCATAAAAGATAAAGCTTTTTAAATGATACATGGATCTTATTAATGAGAAAATATTGATTCAAATTCTCCCTAAAACCTTTACAACCCTGTGATGTTATACGGTGCCCAATCCTTCCTGACGCCTTTGATGCAAAGCAGGACCAGGAAACATGATTTCACTGCTAATTAAAAGATGTTGGCTTTTTCTATTTTTGTGCAGCTAAATTAGAATCAGAACAAAGAAAGTGGATCTTAACCTGGTTTGATTTTCCTTTGAGAAACAGGAATTAGAAAACAGGAAAGTTTTAAAATACAAAAACTGAAATGGAACCCAAATATTTTCTAAATTCTGCTCATCCCTTTTTTAATTTCCGTTTCTAGAAGGAATAATCCAAAAAGCTAAAGATTCGCTGACCGATCGAATCCAACTGGACTATAAAAGATGAAAACCAACAATAAAACCTGAGTTTGAACAGATCAGCAAAAAACAGAGTAAATAATAAACATATAAAATAATATAATATAATCATCCTAGATTAAAAAAAAAAGTTTTTCAAGCCTTCAAAGCACTATGCTTAAACTTTCTTGCAACCATTTAAAGGGAAGATCTAAGAAAGCAGTGAAGAGCAGAACTGAGGAAAACAGCAGAAGAGAAAAAATCAGTGAAACATTTGAACAAAGATCTGAGAAAAGGAGAGAAACCATCAAACCTCAGCATTTCCCCCATCAATCGGATCAATTGGATGGAAGTTTTATTGATCAAATCTAATAAGCATCACCAGAACAACCCCTACAAAAATAAAAGAAATCAATCAAAATTAGGAGCAACATTTGAATCATTTATTGTTAGATGAGGAAGAAAAGAGGCTGTTATTGGGAAACAACTGATCATATGGTGAGTCGACCTTTAACAGGAATAACAGCAGATGATGTCATAACCTTAATAACCACAAAAACTGAGACCTTCCAGCTCATATTATCAGATATTTTACTCTACTTCCCCATTAAAATTGTTAAATCAGTTATTTTATTTGCAGATTTATTTATTTTCAACATGTTTTACTTTGTAAGTATGTATCAACCCTAATTTTACCATTAGATTCATAGATTCAGTTCCTACCACAATAAAATAAACAAAAACATAGTTATTTTGGTTTGAGTATATTTCGTGTGTTAAAATGTGTAAAATTATAAAGAGTCATAATGTTATTGTTTTTTATTAGCCATTATGTAACAACTTTCTAACTAAGATGTTGTTACTTAACTAGAATTAAGCCCAATATTTAAAATAATATTTAGTTTGTTCTGTAAAAAAGCAGCATAAAGCAGTGGTTAGTAGAAATGAACAGATGAATCAGACCAGCTGGGTGGGTTTGGCCCCCAGGGGCCCCCTGGGTCCTCGGGGTTTTAGCACGGTCTCTGGCAGTAATCCCTTCTGCTCCAGTTTGCTTTAACGGAACATTGTGGATCCCAAAGCGGCTGCCTGCTGGTCCAGAGCGTAGAGCTCTGATTGGATCAGACGGAACCACATAACGGTCCTTGGTTCTGGTTCTGGTCTGGTTCTGGTTCGCGCAGAGCCCTGATTGGATCAGACGGAACCACATAACGGTCCTTGGTTCTGGTTCTGGTCTGTTTCTGGTCTGGTTCTGGTTCTACAGACCCTCCACTCTGCAGCTAAAGGTGCTTAGAGGGGAAAACACTCACCCAGATTCCTGAGAGGATCGATGGCCTTCGGTTGGGACGTCCCGGCTCGGTTCTTTCTGTGTTTGCTGCCCAGCATGACGCGCAGACGCCCGGCCGCTCCTTATGCGCGCCGCGGGATGGAGGACGGAGAGGAGGCGCGCCGCGCGCTGCGCCTCATCTTTTTATCCTGGCCTGGGGTCTGAGAGCCCCACTTCTTCTCAATCACATCAGCGGCATCCACCTGACGTCAGAGCCCACTAAGCCTTCCTCGGGAGATTTTCAAAATAAAAGTAGACCCTTTCTTATTATAACCCGAGTATAATTAGAGAGCAGCGTAATTAAAGACAGAAGCTGGTTATTCAGGAGCTCCATAAAAGCATGAAGCAGAAGTGATGAAAGAGACACCGCCTTGAAGCAGCTGACTCTGACCTTTGACTCAGGCATGAGGCGGTGGTGACGTGTTCTTCATGAGCCTACAGCCAATAGGCTTAATCACCAAGAGGTTAACAATAGTTCAGAAAATCATTGTGAAAACACTGATACCAGAATTATAAATAGCCTACAGAAAAATGTATCCTCCATCTGATATCAGAGATCTGATTGTTCCTTATGTTCCTAACAGAGCACTTTCTCTGACTGTGACTAACTGGATGTGCTCTCTTCATCCTCTGACATGGGAGCTGGCTCGGAGCTCGTCAGCCTGGCTGTGTGTTTCCTGGACGGGGCCGCCTGTGGAGCTGGTTGACAGTTGCCTTTTGTATCTATGCTTCTTTTTCTATATTTGTTTCTGTCTTCTCAAACCCCAGTCGGCCGCAGCAGATGGCCGCTCACTCTGAGCCTGGTTCTGCTGGAGGTTTCCTTACTGTTAAAAGGGAGTTTTTCCTCTCCACTGTTGCTACAAGCATGCTTAGTGTGAGGGATTGTTGAAGATCAATGAGTTGATGCAATCAGCTGGTTTTCCTTAGATAGAAAATTTTGAATCAATCTGACTGGATGATCTGGTGAACTGGAAAGTGCCTTGAGATGACAGGATGTGAATTGGCGCTATAGAAATAAACTGAATAGAACTGAATTTCTGCATGGAGTTTTCTAAAGGTACTCCAGCTTCCTCCCACAGTCCAAAAACATGACTGTTAGGTTACTTTGCTGGGAACCTGCAGAAATTGGTTTGTTTTTTAACCCAACATTTATAAAACAAAATTCACTTCATAGAAGGAATATTATATCAGATGACATCTTTATATCACCTAACATTAACTAAGAAACCATCACATTTTGTTACTTAAAAAAAACAAATATTTATATTATATTAAAATAAAATAATCTGTAAAGCTTTAGGAAAACGATTAGATAAAGTCACTTCTCTCATAATCCACCCTGATCAAACTGGTTTCATTAAAGAAAGGCAGTCAGCTGCTAACACACGCAGACTGCTTAATTTAATAGATTATTCCTACAGTAAAAATCTTAAATCCTAGATATTGTCTTTAGATGCAGAAAAAGCATTCGATAGAGTAAACTGGAAATTTTTATTCGCCACTCTACATAAATTTTATTTTGACAATTCCTTTATAAATTGGTTAAAAAATATTATGCAGCTTCCCAACAGCCTGTGTCAAGACAAATAATCAAACATCTTCCAGCTTTTGTCTCCAGAGGGGCACCAGACAGGGATGCCTGCTCTCCCCCTCACTTTTTGCTATTTTCATTGAGCCTCTGGCTGCTACAATCAGACAAACTAATGTGGTTAAAGGTATAAAAGGCATGAAAATAGAGCATAAAATTAGTCTTTATGCAGATGATGTATTACTTTATCTCCAGCACTCAAACACTTGCCTCTCTCAAGTGATTAGATTACTAGAATCTTTCTCAAAAGTCTCAGAATACTCTATAAATTGGTCTAAATCTATAATACTACCAATTAATTGCTCTCTACAGAATCCCTCAGGTCTACAATTGCAATCAGGAAATATCAAATATTTGGGAATTACTGTGTCATCTAAATTAGCTGAGTTAGAAAATAGAAGAGGACCTAGAAAGATGGAAATCGCTTCCGATCTCCCTTATAGGTAGGCTAGCCTCAATTAAAATGATGGTCTTACCCAGAATTAACTACCTATTTTCAATTATCCCAAATAAACCATCAACCGAATGGTTTAAATCTCTAGATTCTTCCATCTCTAAATTTCTTTGGAAGGACAAACCCCCTCGTATCAGCTTAAAAACACTACAGAAAACTAAAGACAGAGGGGGACTAGATTTACCTAACTTCCAACACTACTACTTAGCAAATAGATTACAATACATCTCTAAATGGATAAAACATAATCCCTTAGATGAACCCTGGATAGACACAGAACAGGAAATATGCAGTAATATCATAATTTCAGATTTGCCGTTTATTAGCTCTAAGATCAAACGGCACCCATGTTTCAAAAATATTAACATCAGCTCTTCCCTGACAGCATGGTGGGAATTTCTAAAAATAACGAAGTCATCACTTATCCCGTGCAGTCGTACACCCATCTGGAATAACCCTGACATTCTACAAAACGATAATGTGATAAACTTTCCGTACTGGAAGAATAAAGGTATTAACTATCTGGATCATTTATTTGAAGGTACGGAGTTTATCACATTCGCTAGATTATATTTTCAATATGGCATTAACAGAAATAAATTCTTAGAATATGAGCAAATTAAAGCTATAATTAGAAATAATTGTAAGCATATTGATGGAGGTTTACAAATTCCAGCTAATATATCAGAGTTTCTAAAGGTAAACCCCCCCAAACCACTGTCTTATACAGGACACTGACTAAACTGGATGATACAATATCTCTCCCTATTACTAAATGGGAGGAGGATTTATCAGTCAGCTTTGAACAAAACATCTGGGCTCAGATATGTCTAAGAACCTTTAACATGACTAGAAACCCCAATTTACAATTAATACAATACAAAATCCTCCCCACAGTGCACTATACAGGTCAAAGGTTATTCAGGCATGTGTTCTCTGCTCGCACCCTTAGCTCACCGCTACGTAGAGCTAGTCTGTGATCGTGGCGGGCCAGAGCGCTCAGCCACAGCCTATCATTGCTGTTATCACCACAGTCATCATCGCATCGTTATTTTTAAGCGTCATTGCCTCCTTGCTTGTTCAGCAATTTTGCCATTGCGCATCATCCCAGCTCTGCTCTTATTTCCAGACTGCTTGATCTGGCTATTGCATTTCCTTCCTCCTTGTCCAGTTTCACTTTTTAAGGGCTGCCTTCTGACTTTTATTTCGGTCTAGACTGCTTCTTGATTGGATCGGCATCATTCTGTCTGCAGCCATGCTTTAATTTTACAGGTGATGCCTTCATTTAGATGATACTCTTTCAACACACCTCCAGCCCCTCTTCCACCATCGTAGCTAAAGCTTCATCAGAGCGTAATTCCTCCTGGATTCTTACTGCGTTCCCTGTCTCATCTCAACCGGTCCGACAGAAGACCGCCATGTTGAGCCTGGTTCTGCCAGCGGTTTCTTTCCAATGGAGAGTTTTTCCTCTCTACGGTCGCTTCATGCTTGCTCATCACGGACAGGTTCTCTTAACCTGTGTTATCCAACTGGACTTCCATCTTCCAGGTCCCTGAGTGAAGCTCTAGTATCAGCTCACACAATCCACTGGATCTCCCCATAAAGCTCAGCAGACCATCTCTCTAACCAGTCTACAGACTGACCATCTTCCTCTATCTCCACTCCAACACCAGTTTCAGGTCTGGGGGGGAAACAGCCCTATTCTTTGCTATGTTCATGCATATCTATCGAAATTAAGCGTTATGTTTCCTGCCGAGGTCTGAGCGCTAAAGACCAAGTAATTGTATCTATAAATTTCTCCTAATTGTCTTTTTTCTTCATGTGAGTTTTTCAGATTGAACTATATATGCTCCCAAATGGTAAAATTATTATTGTCTGTCAATTATTAGACAGTGTAGGTGTCACGATTTGGTGTTGGATTGAGGACCCAAAAGCAGAGGCAAGTAGGCAGAGGTGAATTTAGGTGGGTTTAATGAGGTTCACAGATACGGAGGCAGGAATCAAAAATCCAACAAAAATAACAAACAAACCAGAACCAAGGAGACATCAGGGGAAACCAAACTCTAGGAGCCAGGGAGAGACGAGGTAAGCAGACAGACGTTAGACGAGGATCCAGCAAACAGGAACTGAAGAGGAAGGACTTTTAAAGGAGACAGAAACAAAGAGAGGGCTAACGAGAGGATTGAAAACAAGCGAGGACAGAGCAGAAAACAGAGCTAGGGATAGAGGACACAAGAGGGCAGCAGAGGACAACAAATGGAAAACCTGGAAGACAGGAACTAAGAAGAAAACAACAAAATAATAATTAAACACTAAAACAAGGAGCAAAGTAAAAACTGAATACTCTAAATAAACATAACAAACCAAAGACTGTGACAGTAGGATTACGTTCCACAGTTATGCTGATGATACTCAGCTATTCCTGCCTATAAATCGAGGTGAAACTAAGCCATTACCAAGACTATGGGCATGTCTGAAGACCTAAAAACCTGGATGACTGAGTCTTTGGACCAGAGTCTTTGAGAACTGAACTTGATTAGTCAATCATATTATCTGGATGGGATTAAATTGATCTAACACAATTAAGTAAAAAATCTTGGTGTTATTGTTGATCAGAACCTGTAACAAGATGGGGCCACTAAAAATCTAGGGGTGGCACACTTAATGTCATGTTGGGGTCTAAGCGTCTAACCCACATGCAGGGAAAAGGTTAAATAGTTTATTCATAAAGTTTACAATAATTGTGCACAGGATCTCCAGCCAATGCCGCCATTCTTCCAAGGCCAGTTTTATGGCGAGGAGTTCTCCGTCGCCGACGTCGTAATTTCGTTCAGCAGGGGTGAGTCTGCGGGAGAAAAATGCACACGGAAGAGTTCTCTGGTCAGAATCAGAACTTCGGGACAGAACAGCTCCCACCCCTGAGTCAGATGCATCCACCTCCAAGATGAACTGTTTGGAGGGGTCAGGTTGAATGAGGATGGGTGCGTTGGAAAACAGAGTCTTAAGTTTCTTGAAGGCTGCTTCAGCCTCAGAGGACCAGTGAAAAGTTCTTTTTGCTGATGTTAAGGCTGTTAGAGGTTGGGCTGTTTGGCTGTAATTTCTGATGAACCTACGATAAAAATTGGCAAATCCCAGAAATCTTTGAAGTTGTTTCCGGTTTTCAGGAGTGGGCCAGTCCAGAACCGCCTTGATTTTATCCTCAGATGGCCTCACCTGCCCGCCCTCGAGCACAAAACCTAGAAAGGTA